TTTTTTTTTTTTTTTTTTTTTTTTTTTTTTTTTTTTTTTTTGCCCCTCTTTTCAATACTGGCATTAAATTTATTTCTTTACACATGCTAGGCAAGTGCTCTCTCTTGCTAGATACCTTATTCTACTCTGTTATTTTTCCCTTTTAGAGTGTGGTCTCACTACTTTCCCTGGTTGGTGTTGGACACATTACCCTCCTGCCTCAGCCCTGTAAACAGTGATGATTACAGCTGTGCACCACCAGAGCTGCCTTGGTCTATGCTACTAAGCATAGCTATAAATGAATGTGAGCTCCAGTTCTAGGGCCAAGAACGAGACTTGGGGATAAAACATGACAAAACTAGTATTAGGCATTGGAGCCAAGCAGACTGTGCCCTCATTGAGTAAGTTGCTCACCCTTTCTGAGTCTTAGTTTTATGCACTAAAGAATGGGCATTAAAACAGTATATGAAGTTTTGTTGAAGATTAAAGATGATAGCCCATGTAAAATTCTTACCCTAGACAAAGAACAACTAAGGAATGCCGAGAGTGAATGAAATACTCTTTTACAGGGAAGAAGTCCCCAGCTGGTTATCCAGTACCAACCGGTCAAACCTGAATTTGTATATATACAAGTAACAGTATATAGACTGAGCTGGTTGTACTTGTATACTCAAGAATATATACATATGTATATACATATATACACATATGTATATACATAATATACATATATACACATTATGTATATACATATGTATATACATATATACACATATATGTGTATGTGTATATATATATATATGTATATATGTGCCATGAATTTGAGAATGAGCAGGTTGGGGCTAGGGAAGTGTTATGCAGTGGTTCTCAACTTCCTGATGCTGCAACCCTGTAATACTGTTCCTCATGTTGTGGTGACTTCGACCATAAAACTATTTCATTGCTACTTCATAACTGTAATTTCGCTACTGTTAGAAAGCATAATGTAACCCTATATAAACATCTATGCTTTCTGATGGTCTTAGGTGACCCTACAAAAGGATTGTTCAACCTCCAAAGCAGCGACAACCCATAGGTTAAGAAATTATGTAATTGTATTTTAATTTTGTATTTTCAAAAAAAAAAAAACCTTTAAACATATCTTGGTATCCACTAGATGGTACCTATTACTATTTTTTAATTTATATTTATTTTTAGTTTACGTGTATAGGTATTTTGCCTATATGTAGGTCTGTGCATCACGTATGTACAGTGTCAGAAGAGCCCAGAAGAAGGCATGAGAGCCTCTGGAGCTGCCACACAGGTGCTGGGAACCAAACCCAGGTGCTCTGCCAGGGCACTGGTGTTCTTCACCTGTTGAGTTGTCTCTGCAGCTCCAGCAGCTATTATCATCCCTGCCAACTGCCTACAAAGCTCCTACCGTGGAGAAACAGACATTTTGTCATCCATTAGTCCTTCTTCTCCTTTGAAAGCCTTCATTTCCAAACTCAGAAGTAGCTTATGGCATGTCATTTCTAGTCTGGAGCTTAAGATGTTCCAATCTGCTCCAATTCCAATAAAAATCAGCTTTCCCCTCATTGCCGTTCTACTTCCACTGGCAGTTTCTGAAAATTAGACTCTAATGTTGTAAGTATCTGTAACATTTGCTTAAAGAAGCCTTTCCCCTATTTCTCACAATAGAATTTTAAAAAGAAAAAGCGTGAGGAAGGAACGCTCTATAACTGCAGCATGTCTGACATCTTGCCTCTCAGATTTGACCATGACAGCAGTTATAGCCAGTGGCACGTTGCCTTCCTCCACTCAGATTTCCGTCAGGAACACCCTGTCCTGCACTGAATTACTTCCCTGGGTTGGTAACCAAAAAGCATATGCCTGTGTGAATACAAAGCCTTAGAATTATGGACATAGAGAAAAGCTGTGCTCCAGACAAACTCAGCGCTCTTAGACCATGTCTGGTTTAAAGACCCAATGAAACTTACAGAAAAACAACTGAGAACCAAAGACTAGCTTTATAATTGTTGCCCCAAATACAATGCCTCTCAAAGGCAGTATTGGAGACATTGACTAAAATGTACCTTGAGAGTTATGGTTCTGAAGTAACTGGTAAAGATTTGTCTTTACTGTCAAAATTAGAGAAAATAGCAAAAATTTGAAAAATCAAGGAATAAAATTCAAAGTTCTTTTACTGGTGCTTATAGGTAAATCATTTCCAACTTTAGCATGTAATCATATTTATATACACACATATGTACATATAAATACATATTTTACTTGCACATAAATTTCTTCTTCATTCTAAATTATTCCATGGTTTATATGGCCAGGAACTCTGCTTTTTCACTTAGTAGCTGATCACAAATACAGTGAACTATACATTACCTATAATAATATAATATATATAATATAATATATATGTAATTTAGTCAATTAATATACATACATAAGACATTTTATTGCAGCTTTCCTACGTAATGTAAGAACAATTTAAATATAAATCTCACCTTCACATAGCATGTTGTAATCTAAATAGCTATTTCTAGATTTTTAAATTTTAGAAATGCCACTGCATTGAAGTTTTGTATCAGTCTAAGCACATCCCTAATTGTGTCTTTGAAATACATGTCCAAGAATGAAAGCACTTTGCCAAAAGTGGTCTAAAGTGGTCTAAAGTGGTCCAAAAGCCTAACGTGGTTCTTTTTTTCCTGGCTGCTAGGGATGGAGCAAAGGGTCTTGCAGAGGATCAGCACCTGCTGTCTCGCTGGGCCACACCCCAGGCCTCACGACGGTTTCAACTGATGGCTATTGCACGTTATCATCAGTTGCAATCACTTGGCCAACGGAAGGGAGTGGTGGGCATCTCCCCCTTTGCTGTTCCCTGCTCAGCAGAACGCAGATACTTGCCTATCCAGAATGGCTTTCTTCTGCCGATATCCCACAGCCACTGCATGTGCCTCTTGGAGAACACGGTCACAAGATTGCCCTGGTACCTGCACATATACAAATGAAGATGAGAACGTCAGCAACAGGGAGTTTACGCTGCTGCTCATGCGATGTGCATAACAGAAATAAATAAAAAGAAAATTGGCAGACGTAGACAAGGCTTTTCAAGACTTTACAGGCGGGCTAAGCATTGCAGGGCTGTGGGGTAGGGAGTGGGCAGCAGCAAAGAAAGTGTCGAGTTATACACGGGCTCTGTTTACATCACAGTTCAGTGTAATTAGAACTCTTTTTTAAAATTAACAAGAGACTAGCTTCATTGTCAAAGCTCATCCATTTTACAGAAGTTAGAGACTCTTCCTGCCAGCACTCACCATTTTCCCTCAAAATAGAATTCTCTATGAATTACACTGAAGCTAGCTAAATTATTCCTATAAGTAGCATTCTATTGTCTGACTTCTCCATTTGGAGATTGTTTAAAGCACTGATAAAAACCAGTAGGTTATTTTCTTTTTGGAAAGAAAAGAAAGGAGTTGGTTCAAAGGAGAAACAATACATAATGTATGCCTCTATCCTAACAGCCCTACACATTGTGCCCTGTAGATATACACTTATTCCAGTTAATAAAGTAGGAAAGTAAAATGTTAAGGGCTAGCGAGATTGCCCAGGAGGTAATGCCATGCCTGACAGCTTCCAGCTGGGACCCACGTCATGGAAGGAGGGAACTGCCTCTCTTCCAAGTTGTCCTCTGACTTCCACACGTGCACCGTGGCACTCATGTGCCATAAACAAAGGAAGAAGAAATGCAATTTAAAAAATGTTAGGTCACAGCATGGACATTGGAAGAAGGAGAAAAGAGGGAACAGGCCAGGAGCCTACCACAGAGGGCCTCTGAAAGACTCTGCCCAGCAGGGTATCAAAGCAGATGCCAAGACTCTTAACCAAACTTTGGGCAGAATGCAGGGAATCTTGTGAAAGAAGAGGGAGATAAAAAGACCTGGAGAGAACAGTAGCTTCACAAGGAGAGCAACAGATCCAAAAAATCTGGGCACAGGGGTCTTTTCTGAGACTGTTACTCCAAACAAAGACCATGCCTGGAGATAACCTAGAACCCCTGATCAGATGTAGCCCATGGCAGCTCAGTATCTAGTCGGTTCCATAGTAATGGGAACAGGGACTGTCTCTGACATGAACTGATTGGCCTGCTCTTTGATCACCTCCCCTAAGGGGGAAACAGCCTCACCAGGCCACAGAGGAAGACATTGCAGCCAGTCCTGATGAGACCTAATATACTAGGGTCTGATGGAAGGAGAGGAGGACCTCCCCTATTAGTGGACTGGGGGAGGAGCATGGGAGGAGATGAGGGAAGGAGGGTGAGATTGGGAGGGAATGAGGAAGGGGACTATAGCTGAGATGCAAAGTGAATAAACTTTAATTAATACAAAAAATAAAAATTTAATTAAAAAATGTTAGGTCAAATGACAAGAAAATAAAGTCACCATGATTGTCTTTCCTGATCAACATTTGTTGACAAGAAGACAAGTGGAAAATAAAATAGCAACACACACACACAGTTAAACAACTGCTGAGCAAAACTTTATTCATTTTTGCCTATGCTTTCCAAAATTCAGATATATTTCTCTGACCTGTTCATACATAGTAACTGTAGTTTCTTTCTTTGTGATTTCCCCCTTCACTAACATAGGATTTTGCTGTTCTGTATTTCAATGGTACTTCACAGGCCTTCAAAGATCTATAAGGCTGCTGGAGAGCTGCTGGAGAGATTCAGGCTGCTGAATCTGGGCTTCATGGTGTGGTTTTGAACCCATTATTTACCGCTGGCTCGTGTCTTACAGTCACAGGAGCTACCGTGAGACACCTCCTCGCATCCAGTGTGATCATCCTGTGTGCTCTGGGCTTGGGGCACACAAGATCTGACTTGTGTTAAATGGGCTTGGGCTATCTCCTCACTGTGGAGTGCTGCACCAAGAATGGACAGGCAGGAGCCATCTCCTGCCTGGCCCCTCTGTCCCTTCCCAGGTAATTTTCTCACTGATCGCCACTAACCCCCCAACCATCACCAAGATGGATAGAGAAGCTTTATTTCCAGTTACTTAGCATCTTCCCTGTTTGAAAATTTTTGAAACTATCTATGAAACAGACTGCAAAATAGAGTCCTAGTTTTCTGTTTAAATCTCCAAAAAGCAAGAAGTGCACCCCACCACCACCAAAAGCCAGGAAGAAAATAAATAGCTGCGTCTCACCTAGGCAAAATATTAAAGCAATAATTCACAAAACAAATGTTTTGGCATGTGAACGGTGGTTTTAAGCAAAAAAAAAAAAATTCTTGTTCATTTTGCTCAATACTTATAAAATATGGTAGCTACTATCTGTATAGGCATATGTTTATAGATATAAAATTGAAATATATAGGTAACACATACACATAAAAACTCTTCAAAAACTCTAAAATGTGAAGGCTTTCAAAGTTAGGATTAGAAACAGAAGCTTTACTTTTTCTGGCTACAAAAACAAACATTTTTTTCTTCAAAAGATTTTGCATAGGCACCGATATTTCAGGGCAACTCTTTAAGGGTAGGCCAGCAGGGGTTCCAGACGCTCCTGTGGGATGGGGAAATGGCATCATAGATAATGATCTATAATAATAGAATTACCAAATGTACAATGACCGCCTTAGGAAATAAGCAGATGAGATTACAATATGTAAATTCAAGAAAGGCCTAATCTAGCAGTCTGGCTCCTTTGGGTTAGAAAAATAATAAAACACCAATGGGGAAGCAAAGAGATGGGAGATAAAGATTGAGTTGAGTTAGTAATCTGATTAGAGACTAGGGATAACACACAATTTACTGTTCTCATTGAAACACGGGCATTGTAAATGACCCTCTGGAAATTAAAAAAAAAAAAAAAAGAAAATCAGGTACATACCAGGGAGAGCCCAGAGAAACAGCAATCAAAACACATTCTGTATTTGTACTAATTCTAACCATGGAGTCTAAAGCCGTCTACTAAAATATCTAATGGTAAAGTAAAGCTTCAGGTTGCAACATGCAAACGTGTGACTGGAACTTCATGAAAGCGATTGACAACCCCTAGAGAAATACTCATTTTTCAAGCCAATGAGACTGGCAAACAAGATAAGAATGGTCCAGAAAGTACTGGAGGGAGGAAGCAGGAGGCCCAGGGTGTGGCTGAAGCATGCTTGCCGAAGAAGGGTAGTTTGGGTTTGGAGGCAAGTTGTGTTGGAGGAAGCCTTACTAACTCCACATGTTCCTCCCGGAAGCCCATTGTTCCGATCTCCCAGTGTCCTTTTAAAGAGTGACTTCAGCCAGTGTGTACATCTCTAATCATTCTCCCTGTTCTCCTGAAAGCAAATGCACGCTCAAGTACCATGTGGATTCAATTACGTAAAATATTTAATATTTCAACTGAAATTGGAAGTGTAGATGTTTCTAGTGATACTGAAATGTCACATTCCCTTATACACTGCAGGCCATCAAAGAGCGCATTTGATAAGCTGTTTAGTTTCCCAGTCAATAAAGTGAATATTACGTGCAAGTTGAGTTTATTTTTACTGCTAGTTGGTTGCTTTCAGAAAAATATGTTCCTAAAACAATTTCCTGATAAAAAGTATAATAAATCACTTGGAAATGATTTGAACAACAGTGGTTCTGAAGCATCTTATGGAATCATGTCTGATCTGAGAGCCATGCTCACTCTGATGTGCCCCCTTGAATCACCCGGGGAGATGGACATTTTCCAGGACCAAAAAAAAAATCTTCAATTTACAGTATTTCCAAATGTCAATCATGTTCTTCTCTATGTAACCAACAGATATTGCTATAAACTCATATTTGTGGCCACAGAAATCCTTAATTGTGCTTACAGTAAAATATGAGCTCAGCAGGTGCTAAAACGAGGCTCTTAAAATCATGAACATCCACATTCCTCCTACCCATGCTATTTAAAAAATTATTTTATTTTATTTTATTTTATTTTATGTGCATTGGTGTTATGCCTGCATGTGTGTCTGTGCGAAGGCGTCAGATCCCCTAGAACTGGAGTTGTATACGGTTGTGAGCCGCCATGTGGGAGCTGGGAGTTGAACTCAGGTCCTCTAGAAGAGGAGAAAGTACTCTTACCATCATCACTCCAGCCCCAACATCTACATTCCTAATAGCGCTTTATGAGAAAGAGATTTGGAAAAGAAATTACCTTAAGTCTATGGTACTACCAGTGTAAAATGCATCGTACTGTATAAGACAGTTCTATTGAGCTATGGTTTCTATTCCCTGATGAATGAGGAAGTAGTTAGGTATTGGACCGAGAGAGCAATACTAAAGAACAGTATTTAAAGGTGTAGTCTAGTCTAGACTCACTTTATTCTAGCACAAAAAGTTAAAACATAAATCTATAAGTTCAAAACCTGATTACCCTTTAAGTATTCCCTGAAAGGGTTAGTTGGATTCAGTTTTAAAATTTTATTTCTTTGCTGTGAGAGAGATACAAGACTTTAAAATACATGATTTTGAGGGCTTGTGTTAGATTTGCCTAACACAAAGTTAAAATAGACACGCTCGTCGGCGCATATGTGGTGAGAAATCCCCTACACTTCAGAACTCTTTGGGGAGTGTAATGGAAAAGTCCCTTCTCTTTCCTTGCTTCCATGACAATGAGCAACCGATTTTGCTTCCTGAGACCTGTCATAAAGTTTAAAGATGTGGATATTAATACTGGCTTCCCTCACAGAAGTGATGAACTTCAAATAAGTTATATATGTGACAGAGTTCTGTAAACATACTTTGTGAAAGTGAGGCGTCATTGGTGAGGCGGCACGCAGGACTGGGTCATGCTAATCGAGGTCAGGGCAGTGCTCAATCTCAAGTTGCAGTCAAAGCCCTAGGTTAGGTGCATGAGGAAGGAGGCAGGCCTTTAATTCCAGCCTTGTGTTTATGATGGACATGAGTAAACCAGACAGTATTAACAGAGCTATGAAGGAACTCTCTGTAACTAGAAGGCTACCATCCACTAAAGCCAGCTGTAATAAGATATATCAAGACAATCAAAATTTTAAAAGGTATTGGAAGACTGGCAGGGTGACCAACAGGAGCGCACCAGCAGCACTACTCTAAGTGGACAGTATTTTATTGAAAGGGTTTGCAACACTAAGAAATTAAAAGATTGTGGTTTCAATAGATTTCAATAGAAGACAGACACTGGAATAAGAACCACCTGGCTGCCTTTCACCAGCCTCTTTGTGTGGATGCAAAGGCGATTCCCGGCACATGTTACCTTTATTTTATCACAGTACTAACAATCAGTGAGAGTCTGGGGCACAGCTCAGGAGTAGAGTGTGTGACCAGTATTTATCAAGCTCTGGGTTTCCTCTCCAACACAATAAAAACAAACAAACAAATGTTCAAGGAGAGAAGAAGTAATCATGAGCATTTGGGAGAAGCACAATCCATAAAGCATCAAGGACCTGAGTCTGGATGCCCAGGGACCACACACAATCTGGGCACATGGAATGTGGCTCTTGTGCAGGGAAGACAAAGAGACAGGCATTCGCTGGCCAGCAGGTTTGAGAGAATCAGTGACCTCGTGGTTCAGCGACAGCCTATCCTAAGATAGTGACCGAAGGAGAAACCTAACATGGACCTGGAACCTCCAGAGGCACACACAAACAGCTCCCATCCTCACCCCAACCCCTCACACAAAGAAAACCGGCTTTTAAAAAAGTAACCCTTAAAGCTTACTGAGGACTTGCTTGTCCTTTGAGAGTCACCGGAAGAAAGTGGCTGAAGTCACTGGTCGGGCTTTTAATAACCATGGAGAGCTAGCCACAGTTAAGTGGAGGATGAATCAATAAAGCTGCTTTCGAGTTTGAAGTCGGGAAGTTCTGTTTGTCTACATTTTACCAGGCACTTGCCCACACTATGACCTTGACACCTCCACCGCAGGGTAGGTCCACTACCCTCTCTTTTGCCAGGAATGACCTCCTTTTAGTAGCATCTTCCTCCTGGCTAGCTCAGACAACTTCTGGGTTAACATCCCAGATCTTTCAAGGAGAGGAAGAGCAAGAAAACTATTACTGCTCCAGCCAGCCATCCCCTAGATCAAGGGTTCTTAACCTGTGGGTGACAACCCCTTTGGGGACCAAATGACCCTTTCACAGGGTTGCCTGAAATCGTCAGCATATCAGCTATTTACACTATAATTCATAATAACAGCCAAGTTACAGTTGTGAAATAGAAACAAAAATGATTTTATAGTTGGGGAGTCATCCCATCACGAGGAACTATATTAAGGGTTCGCAGAATTAGGGAGATTGAGAACCACTGTCTTAGATCATTACAAATACACGCAGGGCATCTGATTGTCTTAGCAAAAGGGTGTCTTATTTCTTCTTCAGCATGCGTCATCGTGGCAACAACTCTATGGTTAAATAGCACTCATTTTAAGAGTTTTAAATATCTGGATTCATATGACATTACCAACTTACCAACAAAATCCACAAAGCTACTGATTAACCTCCACTTACAGTTAAGATATAAAATACAGCAGTGACCCCCCCACCCAAGAAAATGTGGTTGACCTTCCTAGGTTTTAAATACTTTATTATCTTAAAAAAAATAAAATAAAATAAAAAGGGAAGCTGGGTATAGTAGCACAGCCCTGTAATCTCCGGTGGTCAGGAGGCTGAGGCAGGAGGGTTGAACCCATGATGTAGAGGCCAGCCTGGGCAACGCAAGGAGATTTTTGTCTCACAAAAATAGAGCAAAAAATCAACTAGGTAAGGTTAAAAATAATACAGAGATCGTTAAATATTTAATTTGATGGGTTTTGACAAAGGTATCACATCACATTAAAGCTATGCGGATGAGGACGCAGAAGCTTGCACTGGAAGAGTTCCTGGCGTTGCTTCTAGTGCTCTAACTATCTGTGGGCGAGACCCTTCATTACCGAAGCAGAATAGACCAGACGCATGTACATTCCCCCACAGGTACTCATGGGGTCACGTCGTGTGTATTCTACTGAGTGAGGCTGTGTACATTTGGTGTGTTATCTATCCCTAATTTACCCACATTGTTGGGTGTTTCAGAGAATCAGTCTGTACGTATATAAATGTGTTATCTTGGTGATGGAGAAAACAGCCAGCACTTTAATAAATTAATAACAAAAATAACCCGATTTATTATCATTTAGTTTGAACAAACTTATAAGATTATTTTGTATTTTCTAGCATATGTTTTAATCTCTTGGTGAAGTAGTTAGGTCTAGAATCGCTAAGTCATGGGGCACATGGGGCACTTTGTTAAAGACTGTCAGACAGTCCCACAAAGTAGATGCATCATTGTGTGATGCTCTATACCACTGTCAACACTGATCTTGTAATTTTATGATTTTTAATCTTTTAGTGAGTGTAAAATGTTTCCATCGTCACTTCCTTTGTCTCTGGTGACGTTGAGAAAATTTTTAATTATTTAGTAACTTTCTGTTTGCTTTTTCTTGTGAGGTCTCTAAGTCACTTGTAAAACTTTGTTACAGTTGTATGTAAGCGATGTGTGTATTGATGTACACATTCTACTACACGTATGTGAAAGGCAGAGGACAAATTGGTGGAGTTGGTTCTTTCCTTCCACCTTCACGAAAGTCGTCAGGCATTACTTGCTGAGCCACCTTGTCAGCCTCATTTGAGATTATTTCAGTTATTTTTTGTTATTTATTTATAGGGGCTTTATCTCCTATTTAAGGCCTTTATCAGATAAGTGATTTAAGAACCTGAAGTGGTTTACCCTTTCATTTTCTTAGTGGTGTCTTTAGACAAGGATACCCTTTTAAATTTAATAAAGTATACGATATAACCAATATTAACTAGAACTTGCCGTAGTCTCAATTTAATCAAGAATGCATATTAGTATAATTGCATTGTTTGGATAATATCCAGCTTATGAAATAAAAAGGTTGGTCCATGATTGCTGTATGAATATTTTTAAAGTTCTGGATCAGATGAATTTTGTTGTCATTATCTGGCCACAAGTTATCTTTTATTGAATGTCACCCATTGAGCCTTTGTCCTACTTCCCTGGTTTTATGGGCACCAGTGCTTCCTACACTGCCAAAGGCTGGATGCCAAAGCCTTTCATTACCAGTTATTTTAAAAATCAGTGGGCTTGGATGTCTATCATTTGAGGGGGTGGGGAAAGAGAGAGGAGAAAATATCAGAACCTACAGTGCTGTTGACTCAGGAAAGTTCTTTGACTTTTTCTTTAAAGATGGAGATAGAAGGAAACAGAAAAGAATGTGGCACTAGTACAGCCGCAACAACAACAACAACAACAACAAAAAGACCCAGCAGACAGAAGTATCAAAATCAGCCACATATCCATTCTGAACCACAAACTCCCCTTAGGCTCCTTAGACAAAGCCGGGCAAACGTTAAGACATTTAATTCATGTTCAGTGACTGACGCAGCCCTACAGCTCCATGCGAAAATAAAGAAAACATGAGGCGCGTGTGGCACAGGGTTCCTTACTGTTCTCTGCAAGCTCGGGTGGCTGTGGCCCAGGTGCCTTTCTGCCGTGTGACCAAGGTGTGGCAGTGGCCTGAGTGAAGACGCCATCCAGCTGGGCAAGATTCGCCCTTCAGCCCCTGCAAAACAGTTGTCTGTGTTCACCTCCGAATGTACTTGATAACCCGGAGTCTGCCTCACAGTGGAAAGAAGCCTGTGAGTCTTCTCATTTCAACGGAGCAGAGGCAGCCCTCACCGCAATGTCCCATCTTGAGAGATAAATGACCTCCTACAGAAAGTGCCACCACAGTCAGAAATGGTTCAGTTGTATACCACTGACATTCTGATAATCAGACAAAATCGACTAGTTTAATACTATATTTTGGATCTTATTGTTGTTATTGTTTGGTGTGTTTGTTTGTTTGTTTGTTTGTTTTCCTGAGACAGGGTTTCTTTGTGTTGTCCTGGAGCTCACTCTATGGACCAGGCTGACCTCAAACTCAGAGATTCACCTGCCTCTGCTGGAACTAAAGGAATGCACCACCACCCGGCTTTAGATTTTGGATCTTAAAATGTCACAGTAAGCATTCCTCCCTTGCCTTTCCAGGTATAATAAGAAAGACATAGCATGAGCTGAGGACCGCACGTTGATTTCTCTGTAGGCACATCATAGGGCTTACTGCTGTTAAAGGTGCTTAGCTACCAGCCAGAGTCCCACCTCAGCTTGGGGGCTCCAGGCCTTCCAGGTGACTCCATCACATTGATACAATCTGTGGGTTTTTTCTTCAAAGTGAAAGAGTCCCTTTAATTCCACAGAACAGTTCCTTGGAAACAAGGGCAGCAGACCCTGTAGGGAAGAGCAGCCACTTAGAATTGACTTAGTGTGAACATAGTTTCCTTGTTTGGCAGCATCTGTCTGTGTCAAGTAAACTATCCCCAACCTTAAGGTCCATTTTGTGAACTAAGTGTCTTTATGGCCCACAGACTAGTTTGCCAGAAGGTAAACAGGAAGGAAGAAAGATTTCCATACCTGTCTGGGAAAATTCGAATCAGTTGTGGATTCCACCTTATCAGCTGGAGGCAGCTCTGCCACCGTGATTGTCCTCTGTGGCTGACTCTGGATGGATATTTTGGCCTTCCGCTTGTGAGCTGAGAAACCGTCACCCTCTAGTTTCAAGGACACTATGCCATGATACTTGGGGAAACCAGCGACAACAACAAGAAACAATGAGGAAAAAAAGTAAGCAGCAAGAAAGCAGGTGAATATTTTTGTTCTAATAATGAACATTTTAAAGATTGTATCAAAGAAAAGAGACAAAAAGATTTTTCCTGATCACCTAATCTTCTAGAACAAATTTCAGGAAAAAAAAAAAAAGAAAGCTTCAGGTAAGTAGACAAAGAGGAAAGATATAACAATCTCACGAATGTGAAAACAGCATGAACATAAGACATTTGGCAATTTTCTATGCTTACATTGTAGATGGTGTCTGTTCCATTTTTACAAACAGAGGATGGGAGAACCTGAAATCAACAAAGAACAATATGCATGCAAAACTGATTTAAAAAGCATTTAGCACTGTGTATTCTGGTAAGGTTCTATAATAATTGAAAATTTAAAAAAGTATTTCATAAGACTTTTTTTTTTTTTAAATGCAAGTTCAATACAATTTTTTAAACTATCATGTGTAACCATAGCTCATTGTTGTGCTGATTTCTGCATCCAATGTACTGGCTGGGCCTCTTAGTTTTCAGTGCATCTACAATGTAGAAAGATTCAGGAAACACACAAACATACGTAAGAGAGTGTGCCTTGTTGGAGTCATAGCTTCCACACCCGGGGTTTGGGTGTGTGTGTGTGTGCCTTAAATGTGCTTCTGTCCTAAGATCACTGATTATTCCCTACCTGTCTTGGTCATAAAAGGAGCCAACGCAGGATTCACATGGCTGAGTAAGTGTACCTACCACTTCAATTGGCAAGTGGGGTGGGGCAGGATAATGCTGTTCGCATAGAGAAGACTGCTGACTCCACCAAGAACTCGCTTTGAGAATCTGAACAGCTCTGCACTGTCTTACACACTTACACTGAGCACACACACTTCCCCTCCCAGAACGTCCCCGTCCTTACCGATTTCCCATTCCCATGGGTCCCCATCTTCCTCTGAGAGAGGTCTGTGAGATCAAAGCCCTGAAGGACATCTCCTTTGGTGAAAGATGGACGGTGCCTCCTTTCCAGATGAGGAGAACCAGCAGTGGTGAGTGAGGATGACCCTGAGGGCTGCGGATGCCAAATGCCCTTCCCCTGTGTGCTGTGCTTGCTTTGGTTGAAGGAATTTGAAGGATGGCATCGTCCTGGAGGCATGCAAGATGGCAGGCGATCAGTATACTACACAGACACATAAGTGATGGCATTGACACAGTTTCTGGAACAGCTTGTCATTAAACCTAGACGGATGAATTTCCCACCAGATGTTGTCTTTTCCCCATTTGCCAGCAACTCCTTCTCTCTTCATCAGTTCCCACCTGGGAAAGCGCTGTCCTTCTGCACATGGATGGGGTGATTATAAAGTCATGAAATCCATCCCACAAATCATAGATGAAAATCATCATCACGGTTTTTATAATCATTCCAGACACTCAGAGAACCGGCTCGCTTCCCTCCTTCTGTGATCCTCATCAACATCGAAGGTTTGTTCGCTGGTCAAGTACCACCCCACACACACACTTCGCGAGTATTCAGTTTTCCTCCAATCTTTTAGAGGCAGAAACTGGAATTGTTTAAAGGTATCATGTAATCAAGCAGCAGCTACAAAAAGTTACAATCAACTCTAACAGGGCAAAACCCTAGTGCATCTTAAGAGAGTGGCTTCTGTGGGAAACCTCGGCAATCGATATTTCTGCGAAGGCACAAACAAACAAACTAGGCCAGTGACCTGGCTCAGCAGGTGAAGATGCCTGCCACCAAGACTCACTACCAGAGTTTGATCCTGGGAACCCACGTAATAAAAGAGAAGAGATTGCCACAGCTTGTTCTCTGACCTCTCCACACATTGTAAGTAAAAAGATAATTACCAACCTCAACTAACAAGAAAACAAAAAACAACCTACTGCCAGAACCTGTCTGGACACTTATTTCCGTTTCAGCAGCACTGAAATTCAAGCACAGAGCCTTCCACAAGCTAAGCGAGCACTCGGCAGCTGAGCTACATTCCCAGCCCACGGCATTTTTGTACTTGTGTATTTATTCCCACTGGAAGAGAAGCAAATGTGCGGAAGAAAGTGGGATGAGAGATCTCATGGAAACGTGAGTGTCCAAAGCAAAGGAGACAGCACCCATTTTTATTTTAGGGTGAGCAAGGAAACAATAGATTACAGGTAAGAAAAAAATGCAGAGTACAGGGCTTGACAAGCATAAAAATAAAGGCTTAAAATGGAGTGTCATGCCGGACACATAAAATGTCACACAGATAAGGAACCAGAAACAGAAGGAGTTTGGCAGAACAAAACCTCAGAGCGCCACCGGCTTTGCTTTTTATTTCATTTGCACGTTGCTCTCTAGCAGAACCTTCCCAGAACTGTTTGGCTCTACAACACCAAGTCATTCATTAGTATTCTCCAGCTGCCCCTGTCCCCAGCCAGCTGCATCTTCACAACTATTTTTCTCCAATTCCTTCCCTTCTTAGAATTTTCCTGGTCACACTGCAGTGGGGGGCTCCAGTTTTAGGCACGGGGAGCTCTCTTTAACGGAGGAAGATAATTACAGCCCTGCAAACCCAGGGGGAAAATAATTGTCGATAGATTCTCACCAACATTGTTTCCCCCTTGGTGAGAACAACAAACGGTTAGGAAAAAAAGCAACCAGGGCCCTGACTTGTTGCTTTCTGCAGCCATTGCTCTTAGCAGGAGGAAAGCCACATGAAGCACAAACTAGAATAAAGGAGCTGGAGTCATGACGGAGGCGGCTTTCTTGACAAGAAATTATGCATTTTGATGTGAAGGTGTTATCAAGCACGTCAGCTGCTGCAAGCCAGCAGCCATGGCGCCAGGACTGCTCCTGATTTCAAGACGAGGATCAAAAGAATACCTCCTTTTGAGTCCAAAATTTTCACTGCAGCTTTTGTCTTTGTGCCAAGAACCGCATTCACAGGGGAGATCAGAATTACTTCAAAGACCTCATCATCTTCCTCTAATCCGTCATAGGTAATTGCTATATTCCACATCTTAGTTGACATTCCTACAAGAAGTAAACATTTTAATTACTCTTTAATTGCTATTTCAATCACCTAGGTGTCAGAGAAATATATTAATTAACATGTCTACAGCTAGACTGTGGTAGCCCAAGTGAGTTATTGTACTGCCACCAACCCACGGAGGCCCCGCTGTTCTCCCAAATAATATAAAAAAGACCGCGTTTGTTCCTGGACAATGATGATCGGCCTTCAATACAAACACTGTAACAAAAAGTGAGCTGCAATACCCAGAGGGAGAAAGAAAAGCCATTACTGCACAAAATCCCAAACATAATTTTTCTCCCATTCCATCCCCTCCATGCTAAAGAAATAAATAGTTACTACAATTTTGAAAATCTTAATAGTTGCAAAAAAATCTGAAGATGCTGCAGCAGAAAGAAGTGATTATTGGATGGTGCTTCAACACCTCACAGAACCCTTGAAGTGATTCATTTCCACCAACAGCTGCCTGTGTCGGCTGCTCTCCCTGCCCAGATCTAGCCCATGGCTGATTTCTCTGATGATGCAATGCTTAGCAGTTGGATACTCTCCTAGAGAAAAGTATAGGCTGGAGACTGTAGACATGGACTGGTCCAGCCGCCCTGTTCCCGCCCCCCCTGCTTCTATCAAGGAGTACAATCAAGTTTATTCCACATAATCTTTTGAACTTAATACAAGTTTTTAATCCACTATGATATCCCAGACACTCTGTCCAGTTGGGATGGAAGGCAAATTGAAGTCAGAGATACCAAGGCTGAAGGACCCTTCTGAAAGAGTCCAATCCTTAGCAGTTTCTATGATGGGAACTGTAAGATAGCTTCCTGGATTTATTTAGATGGAAAGAGGAAGGCAGAGGTAAGCAAACTGAAGGCTTTTTGGTGGGGTGAGAGGTACAAGAATGGGGGCAAAGGGCAGTAAGTTCATAGGTTGGTACCTAGGGCTTGAAAGTCCTAGGGTTTGAAAGTCTGTCCTGCCTCCCTTGCTTATGGATGCTTTCATGCCAATAAGTCTTTCTCCATAAGGTGGTTGAAGACTGTTTCCCAGGCTTCTCTTCTGAAAATTGACATCTTGCTTGCAGATTGACATGTCTCTAACTCTGTCTTCCACATGACAGCCACCTTCTTGAAACTATGTCTCTTATAGATTTTGTAACCAAATCAGCATATCACTAATCCCTGTAGCAGTCAATGGAAAGTTGAAGTGATTCACTTCTGATCTGGGCTACACTTAGAGGAAAAGAATGGAGGCATCTACCATAATTTTGATAAATAGTATAAATTGATGGCTGATTTAGGAACCATCCAGCATCTTCTGTGTGCTCAGATTATTTCTTTTTACAGTCCTTGCCAAATCAGAAATTGAACTATAGAATATAAAATAGCAATTAATTCCCACCTCAGGGATAGATGAGCCGATCCACCAAAATGTATGTTTTATCCATAAGTACCTGCCTTTGCATTAGAAGCTATGGGGAATGCCACAAGTGCAGCATAAGCCAAGCTCTTATCTAAAGGAATCTGATACTTTTGGGGGGAGACAAGACGAATCCGGTTGTCTTGGGGTATCCAGGAAGATGGGTCCTAGGCCTCCCACCGATTATCAGTATTTGCAGCAGTTGCTTTTGCCTCCCTTGTACATAACCTATGCAGCCTTCCTGTAAACGTCAGTCCATCTCTAAATTGTTTATAATGCCAATATAATGAACACTGTGTGAGTATTGTATTGCCCCGGGTATAATCACAGGAAAATCAAAGGTCAGTACAGAAAGAATGGCTTTTCTGATTAGTTTTTGATTTGTACTTGGCTGGATAGGTGGATAGGGGGCACAGGAATTCTGTAGCCCTTCTTTGTATGTACCAAGAAGTCAAAGCTATGCGTAATTAGCTGACGAAATATGTATGAGAACAGAGTGTGTGCAGTCAGTGCCTGTAGGACCCACAAGCACGGATTTGGAGGGAGGAAATGAAAAGTAATCCAAGAAAGTTCAAAAAGTTGAGGTTTGGGTCAGGCGAGTGGAAAATAGATCAGCTGAATGGACGTCTCCATTCCCCCATTGGGGGAAGGAGATCACAGACTGCGAGTAGCTATTGTAGCTGCACTGCAGAGAACCCTGGACACCAGGTGGCCAGGTTCCAGCTTTAGACAGTCATTAGTGAGGGAAGACATCACTGACATTCTGAGAGCTAGCGCTTTAGCAGACTGCATTTGAGAGTGTCTGTGTGAAGGCTGGGTCCTGGAGACTCTGGGACTTTAGAGGCAGCTATGGAAATTAAACGAGCATGAAAAGAGGTAGACAATGGAGACAGCTAATATTCAGAGAGCCGTTCTAATCACCAAGTGTCATAATGTTAAGTACAACTTAAATAAAAATCCCATACGCAGAAATGTATTTCCATGTCTCAAGCAGTTGTCCTCCTACTTTAAAACTTTAGAAAAATGATAGTATCACTTCTAAGCAAGCAAACAAACACACACAAAGGAACCAAAAAGGCCTTAAAAGTTTTTGCTGGATCTTATGGAACAAAACCAAATAGTTGAAAGAGACCTCCTCTGAGTTCTTTGAAGGGCTTCTGACTTGCTGACCTATATTTCAAATTGGTTTCAAGCCTCCCAGGTGTGGGGGTCACCCTCTCAGGTTAACAAAGATTGTGAGTGGTGTTTTCATGGCTGTTGGGTGCCCTGTTTCCTCCAATTCCAGGTCAAGGTGGTCCTTACTCCCTGAGATATACCTGGGTTTTCAGAAGGCTGGAACAGCCCCTTCCTGTTTCCAGAAAACAAAAGGTGCTGTATAGAGCACAGGAGAGATGCCCTTTCATACAAACACACCCCACTTTACAGAGAAAACGAATCCCTGGATATTTTCCTACAAAGCAGATTTTTCTGTTGAGAGACATTTTCTCAATATTTTTTCAGAAAATGCCAAATTAGAGAGCTGTTCCTTTGGAAAACATTTTGACTTTTTCAGAATGATCAAGATTTGATTAAGAATGCATCAAACTTTCGGGGACACATTTTAAAGGAAAGCACTCATTTTCTTCAGAGTGTTTGCACAGGCACTTGAGCACTTCAGGTTAGTCACAACAGCTGAATGCGTTCTCAGGGTTCGTGTTTGCAAAGTTTGGTGAAGTGCTACGAGGCAAGCCTTCAGCCCACCCCAGCCAGAGTTGTCCAGTCTCGCTTCAGGTGCTGGATGGCCCATTCTGCTCCTCTGGCATCAGGGAAGCTGATATTTCCAGAGAAATGAAAAGATTGCTCCTGGCAAAAGTGATAGGGTGGAGCTGGGGCCATCTAAAAGAAGCACGGATTTACAACATGAAAGTATATAAACATTTATAGGACCTGTGGATATAGGGAATTTTTTTAATTCTCTAAAGAAAGGATTCATGAGATGAAATTATTTCTGGCTTAATAAATTCTAAAATCATGAGCAGCCAAACATATGGCTTTTTTAAAAAATGTATAAAATATGCTTATATTATTTTCCAATGTATAAACAGTCATTAAAATCCAGAGACCATTCGGAGCCCCCAGAAGTCATTAGCAGCTATCAAAACAGCATGTAAACTCTTCTAGACAAACAGGCATTTATCTTATGTAGTGGAATCTCCAAGAGATAAATTTCTGTGTCTCCCCTAGGGTGATACATTCTAGTTCCTCTCAACCCAAACAGAGCGCCTGGCGGGCTGCTGAAAACCTAACTTGCAACAAACAGCTATGGAAAATAAAAAGGACATATGGCAGAAATGATTGACTTTCAAACAAGTCGTTTAAAATATGAGGATGGAAAGAACATTAACCCTTTTGTGGTAGAGCTGAGGACGGAAGAACCTGCAGAGTCCTGAGGATAAGCGGCAAATACAGAGGAGCTCTAATGTGATCAGCCTAGAAAGGCAACTCACCCGTGTTAGAAAACTTGTTATGAGCTGAATTGTACCCCCCCAAAGCTTATATTGTGAGGCCTTTCTAACTAACTGCCAGCACCTACAATGTGTAATGTGTAAATAGGGTAGTAATGGTTAGAATGAGGTCACAGTAGAACAGGGTAGCTCCTTAATCTAAGTTCACTTGGGTTCTTTTGATGAGGGAGGATTTATTCATAGGTAGAATATCATGCAAAGGTGAAGACAAGGCCTAGGGAGATATAGCAAGAGCCAGGAGCACCAAAGATTGCCAGCAAACTACAAAAGGCACAAAAGAAAGGGACAGGATAGATTCTCCCTCACCTGATCCACACATTGGTCTTAGATTGAAAAGCCTCTGAAACTGCAAGGCCACGACTATGTTCACAACTATTGGCAACACTTAGTTATGGGAAAACAATATAACCTTCATGTGAACAGACAAAGACATTCTTCTCCTACCACAAAAATCATCCGTTTGGGGATGGGGAAGATATTTAGTCTTTTGAGTGTCGAGTGAGCTTACGCTTGGTAGAGTCATCAGGGTGTGGGGGAACATCCCTGCAGCGAAGTACAAAGCCGCAAGCCCTGGCTACTCTCTAGCATTTGTTCTTCTCTTCCATTTGTTCTTCGCTGAGTGACCCAGGTGCTTTATGGACCACAGGGAACGAGGAAGAGCCATGCAGAATAAGGAGGCAGTTAATCCCATCCACAAGAGAGCCTGGAGGGTGGTGTCCAGCCTCCTGGCTTTAAGACAGACTTCCCCAGAAGTAAGCAGTGCTTTTGTGTAACTGCTCCAGCATTCCTGCTCCTCCTCTCCTTCCCTCTCCTCCTCCTCACTAGAATGTTGCCCACTCCAGGAAGTCCTCCAGAATTTCCTTTATCCAGAACAATGGCTTTCACTCTGGGTTCCAAAGTTCTGCTGGCAAATATTTTCATGTCTATATGTTACAAGCAACAGAACATCTTCAGGAGAAGAAACATTTTAACATTTTACCTTTTGGTACCTAGCAATATTTTCCACAGATTTAATTCAAAGTAAGTGCTATTCAGTGAAATAATCATTCGCCCTTAAAGCATGTTATATCAACTTATTTCAAAAGAGATCATTTAGAAACTCCTTTTAGGTTTCTAGATAATCATAGCATTTGAAAAATTTCTACCAAAATATGTGCTTATTAAATTACCATTATAATAATATCTTTCTGGATTGCTTGGATATTTACTTTGATATTTTATGTTTATTATTTGCTATGACTTTTTCTCCATTCAAATAAATATTTACTTTTAATAAAAACATGTATAATGGCCGAACTTCAGGCCTAACTTGACTGTTGGGAATAGGGTGGTATGGCTCATTGATGATCCTCTAGTTGGCCGAAATTGCATAATACCCTGTCTTCCCAGCAGTCTCCACGATGCTGATAGATCATGAAACAAACTATAAACAAAAAAAACATACCTGGGTCAAACTGAACCAGCTTGGATGGAGCGACAGTAAAATCTTTTCCAACTACAGCTGACACTTGGTTGACCTTAGTGGGGGAAAAAAGTCATTTAAAAACAAAAGTAAATACTCTACACCAGAGAATCAGGTAAGAATTTTAAATTTATAATAAACTGTTTTGGATCCATGCTATGTGGCATGCTTTTTTTTTCCTTAAGTTAACTGATTGTTTCTGCTTTTAAAAGCATTCAATTATTGGAAAAAACAGAATAAAGTTTAAAACCCTATTGCGCTCTTTGTTATGAGCACCATTTTATTCCATTACCTCTCTCGGTTTAAAAGGGAGAAGAAAGAGGGGATGGGAGAAGGAGAAGCAGGCAGTGGGGGTGCACTGTCGGCTCCAAGGCAAGGAAATCCCTCAGGCCAGATTAACCGCACACGTCCTGACCACGGTTGTCCTGCCTGCATGAAACCGTCGCTCTGCACCAACATGAATGAGAGCTTTGCGGGGCTGACAGACCTGGTAAGCAGCTATGCACAGGCAATCCACACACAGGGCCCACAGGCCTAGAGGCCTTGTCATGAAAGCTGTAAAAAGAGAAAACCACCCTGGTCTAACTGGACTACAGACTGTCCTGCTGCACCCTGCTTCTGAAGACATGGTCTTAGGCCCCCAAGGGGAGCCTACGTGTCTGCTAAAAAAATGTCTGTGGTGAGTCTGAAAACGGCCATTGAGTGAGACCCTGGGCAAACCATCACGAGGGATTGTTAATCTTACACATTTTTGAGATGTTGAAGATGGTCAAGGCAGTGAAAGGAACGGAACAAGAGCGCACAACCTGAAGCACTAAAATGTCTGTCCATTCCTGTAGACGCCTACAATGTCTCCGTTTCCAACCAAGATGCTAATAGGTTAATCGCTCTGTCTAGAAACATCTTGCTGAAGAATGGATTACCTCCTAGGCTTCCATTTGCTCTTTGTCTTCAATGCCAAGGCTCCCCCTGAACCAGCTTTTGCCGGGGAAAAGGCAGCCCATTGTACACCTGCATCCACCATATGCTGGAAGCTACATTTGTCTGCATGGTTCTCGTACATGCAATTACCTAGTATTTACCACCACCGAGTTTACAGAATCCTAGGTGGAAAAAGCATGTCTGAGGCAAAGTGTTTGGAAAGGCAGGTTGGGCAAAGGGACACAATTCAGTGAAGGCAAACAGCACAGGCTATGTCTTCCCTCTCTTCTCAGTCAGGTAGCCCGTAAGATCTTCTGGAAGATGGCAGGTTACACTATACTGAGCACTCTCCAAAACCTCAGGGACTATTCTTGATAGGGCCTGCACCCTTAGCTGTCATGTTCATACAGCTTACATAGACTAAAGCACCACGCAGGCTCTTTTACGTGTTGTGGTGAACGGTAACATAGACCTAAACGCTGCATGCAAATATATAGCACTTTCTGTGAAGGACCAGGGGTTTAAAAAAAAAAGTCAGTTCTCTTTTTTTCTCATATCCCTTCCCTGGAACTATGGGAAATGCCAAGTTTCCCACTCTGATGATGAATCCCCTGCAGGTCCTGGAGACAGAGACCTGTACTCACTAGAAAGATAACTGGTGAGTCTGGATGTGGTCAGGTGCAGGTCCACGGTGTTCTGAGGTGTTTTAACTCATCATAACTGTGACCAGCAGAGATACCACCTCGCTCAGAGGCTCAGCTCCTCGGACTGAGCAGGGGTCTCTCTCGTTCCCCACTGAAGCACATAAACCAGCTCTGTAAGCCCACTTTCTGCAAGGGCTGTGGTTACAGTGACTTCCAAAGCCCCTTCAACTCTATAAGCCTCAGGCTGTGCTCCAGCCTATGGAAAGGACAGCAAATCTGGCCAAAGTGACAATGTGGGAACTTTACACTTCAGTACCCTTCTATTTCTGCACGATGTGGGTACTTCTTCAGGTAGGCTTATGGTCTCCTGCTTTACCTAACCCACTGGGACATGAAAAGGGATCCTGTTCCTGCACAGCTGGTGACTGGCATTTGCTGTGGGCATCTCATAGGAGCTGTATACACCTTTCAAGGTGCAGTTTAATACAGAGTCACAAAGTTAGATACATCTTTCTGTGAAATCAAACTTGAAAGCTAAAGAAAGTGTAGAAGTAGCCAGATTTCAAAACCAACAGTGGATTTTAAAAACTATCTAGGAATCACTGAAAGTCTGAGCGACAAAGATTTTTGTGTACTTGGACTCTCCGGCATATAATGACCCCCCCGCCCCCCCCCCACACACACTGCAGTTTGCAGTTTCCTTGGCCATTCTGAATTTTTTTAAAAAAAAAAAAAAAAATCAAAGGCACTAACCACTAACTTTAAGTTCTATTTTGCCAATTTAAATTTTAGAGTTGTTACCTCTATGCCCACAAAGGCTGAGTCGATGGAATATCCCCTTCTCGTAACTTCCAAGGGCAATAAGCCTACATTCTCACAGACTTCATATTCAGTCTGAGACCATTCAATATAAGACCACTTCAGCTCCAAGCTGTACATGAAAAAAAGGAGAAAGGTGATCATAAGGTACCCATAAGAATGTCCCTCAGTATGGTCAGCTAGATGGGAGACTGAGCACTGAATTCCATCAAGGCAGCGAAGGCGTTTGATTAACCCATGCCGGTGTCAGAAATCCTTCATGATTATTTGGAAAATTTGTTCATGATGCATTTTTGCATTTTCTTAGTTGCTCATCATAATGACCTTGTGAGGGAATAGAGAAAGTGTTAAAATTCTATTTTGTACATGAAAGAAGTAAGATTAGAAGGACTGCAAAAGTCCCATGATTGTTGGTGACGAGGTAGAGGTTCAAATGGGAAAGAAACTAGCAGGCATGAAATTCAAGAGCCCATTCATTTTAGGAAGATCTCTGAACTTGGCTCCGCTTTAATGAAAAGTTATCCCTAGATGTGCTTAGGGATTACAGTGTCTGTGCGCTCTGTACCTAACACCCATCCGTCCTTCTATGCAACGAAAGAGATACAATAGTGTGTAGCTTGGGTGCAACTGCAGTCAAGCCTCAGTGTCCATGGGAGAGTGGTCCACGACCCACTGCTGATGCTGACATGTGTCAATACTCCACTCACACGCAGCCTGCACATATCCTTCTGTATGCCTTGCTTTGTCTTCAAATGACTTACAATACCAAACACAGCATAAATAGCTGATTTACTATATTGTCTAGAGACTGATGACAAGGAAGGTTTGTGCCTTTTCAATATGACATAATTCTTTAATAAATAATTTTGAATTATAATTGGCTGTATCTGCAAGGTAGGATGCAGAATATACAGTTGAATATTATTCATAAATAGTTCTGCTACATCATGAGTAAATCTGACATTTGATGGAAATTGTCGTATTTAATGGCTGTCATCTAAAGAGCTTTAACAGGGGAAAAAAAGACTAAGGTCAGAAAGGTTCAACAACTGTTTTATCATTCTTGCAGGGGTCACAGGTCACTATCACATCATACAAAGTTCACCAACAAAATAAATCCACTTGTACTGATTCATGGAAGGATGGTGGTGTGGGGGAGGAGTGACACAGCAGCATAGACTTACTACAGGGGCTCGTGATAAAATACCCGTGCTGTGCAGATACGTGTTTATTCAATAGTTATGGAACATTGTTACTGCATGCCGGATAACGTAAAGATGACTTGAAAACCTTGTTATAATAGAAATATTGGTTCACTCACTAATATTTGATGCAATAGAATTTAAGTCTATAGCATGAAATAGAACTAGGCTTAAAGCATAATAAAATAATACTTAATAAGGTCAAACCAATGGCAATAAAATGATAAGCTGCAAAGAATTCCTAAAGAATCCAGGTAAAAAGCAAAAAAAAAAAAATTAAAAAATTAAAAAAAGAAAAACAGATTCAGGGAGAAGCCAGCAAAATAAATGGGAAACCAATATATGTGAACAAATTTGAGCTGAGTCTCCTAAGAGTCAAGTGGGCGCCAAAGCTGAATTCCAGCCTTTGTCGATACTGAGCATTGTAAGCACCAATCAGAACCACTGCACAAACCCACATAACCTTAAGGCCTAACACTCAGTGCAATCTGGTTGCTGATCTAGATAAAGAAGGGGGCAAAATTTAGAGGCCCGTTCACTCCAAAGCACAAAGGGTCTCGGTGTTGGGAGTGTAAATGTGTATTTTCTGGACACACCATCTGAATTATCACGCCTGTAGGTTAAGACTGTCTCCAAACAATGTCCTATTTTTATTTTCCTTAAAACTATAATCTGTTAAAAGAGACATGAAACTTAACCCAGGCTGTAGATTTTCCAAGAAAAAAAAAATTTTTAAAGAAACCCTCCTATACCCACAGGATATATACAATATGTTCTGAATGTAAATTTTTTTTGCAGTGATTTATTAGTAAAGCTACTTCTATGATTAAACTCTGTGAAAATACCTAAGGGAGAGAGACAGAGAGAGAGAGAGTAAGAGACAGAGACAGAGAAACAGTGTAGCCAATCAGGTTGGAATTCTCCCTGTAAGAATCAGCATGACTGTAGTTTCAAATTTCAGATGTTGGAGCCGGTAAGATCAGTCTGGAGGTTCTGTGTGAAGATAAGGTTGGACTGACATCTTCACATCTAAGGGACCTTCTTCTTACCATTGAGTAGAGTACATTCTATGGGCAGAAATGATGGTTAACAACGTACCATGAATTAAACGCACGTGGTAAACTGTTCAAGTTGATGGGCAAGAGCCCCTAGGCTAGGGCTTCTCCACCCCACACTGTGGCTGTCAGAATCAAGGACTCTTTGCTGTGGGGTGGCAGCCTGGACTCTGAAAGGCACAGCAGCACCTTCCGTCCCTCTCCAGTGGATATAGCTTTGTACTTTACCCTGCTCACAACCATCAAAACTCTGTCCAGACTTTGTGGCTGACCCCTGAGAGGAAAGACGCCTTCAGCTGAGAGCTTCCAGGCGAGAGACGTGCAGCACAGCAGAGGTGTTGATTCTATGTGAAAGCTGAATGTTGGTCGCCAACGACCACTTCTGGGAACAGAAGTCACTGAAGCTGGATTATATGCCTCAAGGCTTCTGGACACACTGCCACTCAGTAACTCGAACAGTCAGACACAAGAAAAGGTGTTTGGACACGCCATTTGACATCACAGAATCTTTGCTGAGGTTTAACTTTCTTCAGCTGCCCTTATCCCAACTTGTGTTTTCATGCAGAGTACACTATATTTTTCTGTAGTAAGCATGCTCTGCGGGAGCAGCCTTTGCCTCCCCGTGTATGACGACTCACTTTGCAGAGTGAGGAACACACAGCTCATCCCAGAGTACTCCACAGCTGTCTGTTCATTGTACCGTTTCCCGAGCTGAGCTGGCAGCCAGAAATGTCCTTTCCCACAATCATTAGCATCCTTCATACACCTTGAAAATAATTCTAGGCCAGAAAATGCTCACATGTTCCTTAGAACCCTGACTCACTCTGTACCTCATGACCAGTATTCTGACCCCATTAGAGAGAAAGATGGAGGTCAGCGTGATTGTGTGGTTTCTTAGCTGGGCACGTATGTTATTCTCTGAGGCAGACTGCAGTTCTCAGCGCTGGGCATATGTGGAGACAGCGTTGTCTCAAGCAGCAGAAGCGGCGTGGTCCAGGCATTTGCTGGATAGAGTTTAGGGATGCTGCTTAGCAGCTGTGGACAGGACAGTGGTCTCTCAACAAGAATTGTGTTTCCCTACACACTAACGGGGTCCACGCTGAGAGACCCTGGCCTACAACGAAAAAAAAAATCTGTGCTTTTGGTATTTTATTTTGTAGCTATTTGATTCATATACATGAAGGAGCAACAAACTGAACAAAACCCTCAGGGTTACATCAGTTTGGGATCTGGGACATGAATCTAGGTTAATAAGTGCACGTTAGCCTCTCCTTGCCTCAGTTTCCTCTCTTCTCAAAGCATACTAAACACAAGTCATACTTCAAAGGAGTTAAATGAACATCCACGAGGGCTCCTTAAGTATGGTGAGCTTCTCAGTAAAAGGTTTCATAGAAGCTAAAATCGGGATTAGGTCATTCTTCCTATACCTAGATATTCACTTATAATCAAGTAGCATCTGACTTTAGAAAACTGAAATGCTGAAACATATTTTTCTAAGCATTCTGTCTAAGCTCTATCAATTCAGAGATGAAGCCATTAAGCCCTGACAACCTCATACTTTGAACACCTGTGCTTCCCGGTTTCCATTTCTCTTGATGGTGGGGAGTGGTTAGCCAAGAGGCAGCAGAGTGAGAGGAGAAAACAAGCACTTTGGAGTCAAACACACTTGCAACCGCTCATTAGTGTGGGGGTGCGGTCAGCTCCTCTGTCTCTCTAGGCTTCAGTTTTCATTATCGTAAAATGAGGGGAATTACAGTCATGTCACATCATTAAAATTAAAATTAGTTAATGTGTGCAAAGCACCTGTACACAGTGGGTGCTTAATAAGTGCCATTTTCTTTTCCTTCCTCTGTGCTTTCCTTAGCTCGAGACTGGGGATAAACATGTTAACTCTGGACTGTAGACGATGTGCAGGCATTAGCGAGCAAACGGCTTCAACCTCTCCCCCTACAAGGTGTTTCATAAAAGCAGTGTAAATGTTTTAAAGTTTGCCTGATAGAAATTCCTTTCCTTTTACATTTCTTTTGACTTTTCTCTTTCGAGGCCAGGACTGAGTAATAGAACATCTGGGTCCAGTTGCCAGAGAGGAGAGGAATCAGTGAGGAGAGAAACCATCACATGAGAAGGGCTATGGGGACCAACTTCTGTTTTGAAGTTAATTCTTCACCTTCCTTCCTTCCTTCCTCCCTTCCTTCCTCCCTTCCTTCCTCTCTCCATCCCTCTCTCCCTTCCTTCTCTCTTTCTTTCTTTCTTTCTTTCTTTCTTTCTTTCTTTCTTTCTTTCT